ACTCAAATCCAAAATCTGTGTCTTTAATAACAATAAAACTTACATAGTATCTTCATATATCTATGAACTATATCTTAATTAAAATAGAGCAATGAAATTTCTTTCTCCCTTACATATTAATGATAGTATTATAAATATACAAGTATTGTTACGACCCAAGAGTCTGCTAGGAAACTGTTCCAAGTAGGAGAGTCAGGTAATCAGTCTGTTGCTAAAATACGATTTTAGGTAATATGATCAGTGAACTCTTATGTAGCAGACTAGAAATGGGAGTGCTAGTCAGAGTTGTGAAGGCACTCTCAGTGAGTGTGGTGAAGCTACTCTCAGCAAGTGTTGAGAACCTACTGCCGGTACCCCTGAGTGCTAAGCTGACGTCAGGTTGGTCACGTGACTGAGGGAGACGTCAGTACCTGAACTAGTAACTGGCGCTCCAACTGGTAGTTTCCCACTACAAGAAAATCACATTATTAATATAACGCCTAATAAAACAATATAATATAATACAATATTATTATTAATGTACATTTAATAAAGTATAGAGCAATATCCTACTGGAATATTTCTCAAATACAAATCGGGTAAGGTCACACTCTCCATCACTCTCCTTCAGGCGTCTGGTGGAGAAGGTCGAGACGATGAAGAACCGCATCCAGGGGAACGGCAGTAACAACTGTATATTGTGTGGTGAAGGTCTCTCACTGCTGAGGACCTCCACTCTGGTCTGTGCTGACTGTAGCAAGGTGAGTCACTACCTCCCTCACTGCTGAGGACCTCCACTCTGGTCTGTGCTGACTGTAGCAAGGTGAGTCACTACCTCCCTCACTGCTGAGGACCTCCACTCTGGTCTGTGCTGACTGTAGCAAGGTGAGTCACTACCTCCCTCACTGCTGAGGACCTCCACTTGTCTGTTGCTGACTGTAGCAAGGTGAGTCACTACCTCCCTCACTGCTGAGGACCTCCACTCTGGTCTGTGCTGACTGTAGCAAGGTAAGTCACTACCTCCCTCACTCACCTCACTGCTGAGGACCTCCACTCTGGTCTGTGCTGACTGTAGCAAGGTGAGTCACTACCTCCCTCACTGCTGAGGACCTCCACTCTGTGCTGACTGTAGCAAGGTAAGTCACTACCTCCCTCACTCACCTCACTGCTGAGGACCTCCACTCTGGTCTGTGCTGACTGTAGCAAGGTGAGTCACTACCTCCCTCACTCACCTCACTGCTGAGGACCTCCACTCTGGTCTGTGCTGACTGTAGCAAGGTGAGTTATCTACCTCCCTCACTCACCTCACTGCTGAGGACCTCCACTACTGGTCTGTGCTGACTGTAGCAAGGTGAGTTACTACCTCCCTCACTCACCTCACTGCTGAGGACTCCACTCTGGTCTGTGCTGACTGTAGCAAGGAGTTACTCCCTCCCTCACTCACCCACCTGCTGAGGACCTCCACTCTGGTCTGTGCTGACTGTAGCAAGGTGAGTCACTACCTCCCTCACTCACCTCACTGCTGAGGACCTCCACTCTGGTCTGTGCTGACTGTAGCAAGGTGAGTTACTACCTCCCTCACTCACCTCACTGCTGAGGACCTCCACTCTGGTCTGTGCTGACTGTAGCAAGGTGAGTCACTACCTCCCTTACTCACCTCACTGCTGAGGACCTCCACTCTGGTCTGTGCTGACTGTAGCAAGGTGAGTTACTACCTCCCTCACTCACCTCACTGCTGAGGACCTCCACTCTGGTCTGTGCTGACTGTAGCAAGGTGTTACTACCTCCCTCACTCACCTCACTGCTGAGGACCTCCACTCTGGTCTGTGCTGACTGTAGCAAGGTGAGTTACTACCTCCCTCACTCACCTCACTGCTGAGGACCTTCACTCTGGTTTGTGCTGACTGTAGCAAGGTGAGTCACTACCTCCCTCACTCACCTCACTGCTGAGGACCTTCACTCTGGTCTGTGCTGACTGTAGCAAGGTGAGTTACTACCTCCCTCACTCACCTCACTGCTGAGGACCTCCACTCTGGTCTGGTGCTGACTGTAGCAAGGTGAGTTATCTACCTCCCTCACTCACCTCACTAGCTGAGGACCTCCACTCTGGTCTGTGCTGACTGTAGCAAGGTGAGTTACTACCTCCCTCACTCACCTCACTGCTGAGGACCTCCACTCTGGTCTGTGCTGACTGTAGCAAGGTAAGTCACAACTTCCCTCCCTCACCTCACTGCTGAGGACCTTCACTCTGGTCTGTGCTGACTGTAGCAAGGTAAGTCACAACTTCCCTCCCTCACCTCACTGCTGAGGACCTTCACTCTGGTCTGTGCTGACTGTAGCAAGGTAAGTCACTACCTCCCTCCCTCACCTCACTGCTGAGGACCTTCACTCTGGTCTGTGGTGACTGTAGCAAGGTGAGTTACTACCTCCCTCCCTCACTCACCTCACTGCTGAGGACCTCCACTCTGGTCTGTGCTGACTGTAGCAAGGTGAGTTACTACCTCCCTCACCCACCTCACTGCTGAGGACCTCCACTCTGGTCTGTGCTGACTGTAGCAAGGTAAGTCACTACCTCCCTCCCTCACCTCACTGCTGAGGACCTCCACTCTGGTCTGTGCTGACTGTAGCAAGGTGAGTTACTACCTCCCTCACTAACCTCACTGCTGAGGACCTTCACTCTGGTCTGTGCTGACTGTAGCAAGGTGAGTTACTACCTCCCTCACTCACCTCACTGCTGAGGACCTCCACTCTGGTCTGTGCTGACTGTAGCAAGGTGAGTTACTACCTCCCTCACTCACCTCACTGCTGAGGACCTCCACTCTGGTCTGTGCTGACTGTAGCAAGGTGAGTTACTACCTCCCTCCCTCACCTCACTGCTGAGAACCTTCACTCTGGTCTGTGGTGACTGTAGCAAGGTGAGTTACTACCTCCCTCCCTCACTCACCTCACTGCTGAGGACCTCCACTCTGGTCTGTGCTGACTGTAGCAAGGTGAGTTACTACCTCCCTCACTCACCTCACTGCTGAGGACCTCCACTCTGGTCTGTGCTGACTGTAGCAAGGTGAGTTACTACCTCCCTCCCTCACTCACCTCACTGCTGAGGACCTCCACTCTGGTTTGTGCTGACTGTAGCAAGGTGAGTTACTACCTCCCTCCCTCACCTCACTGCTGAGGACCTCCACTCTGGTCTGTGCTGACTGTAGCAAGGTGAGTTACTACCTCCCTCACTCACCTCACTGCTGAGGACCCACTCTGGTCTGTGCTGACTGTAGCAAGGTGAGTTACTACCTCCCTCACTCACCTCACTGCTGAGGACCTCCACTCTGGTCTGTGCTGACTGTAGCAAGGTGAGTTACTACCTCCCTCACTCACCTCACTGCTGAGGACCTTCACTCTGGTCTGTGCTGACTGTAGCAAGGTGAGTTACTACCTCCCTCACTCACCTCACTGCTGAGGACCTCCACTCTGGTCTGTGCTGACTGTAGCAAGGTGAGTTACTACCTCCCTCACTCACCTCACTGCTGAGGACCTTCACTCTGGTCTGTGCTGACTGTAGCAAGGTGAGTCACTACCTCCCTCACTCACCTCACTGCTGAGGACCTTCACTCTGGTCTGTGCTGACTGTAGCAAGGTGAGTTACTACCTCCCTTACCCACCTCACTGCTGAGGACCTGCACTCTGGTCTGTGCTGACTGTAGCAAGATGAGTTACTACCTCCCTCCCTCACTGCTGAGGACCTCCACTCTGTGCTGCCTGTAGCAAGGTGAGTTACTACCTCCCTCACTCACCTCACTGCTGAGGACCTCCACTCTGTGCTGACTGTAGCAAGGTGAGTTACTACCTTCCTTCCTCACTCACCTCACTGCTGAGGACCTCCACTCTGGTCTGTGCTGACTGTAGGAACGTGAGTTACTACCTCCCTCCCTCACTGCTGAGGACCTCCACTCTGTGCTGACTGTAGCAAGGTGAGTTACTACCTTCCTTCCTCACTCACCTCACTGCTGAGGACCTCCACTCTGTGCTGACTGTAGCAAGGTGAGTTACTACCTTCCTTCCTCACTCACCTCACTGCTGAGGACCTCCACTCTGGTCTGTGCTGACTGTAGCAACGTGAGTTACTACCTCCTCTCTCCCTCACTCACCCTCACTCTCACTCTCGCTCATTAAATTGCTAACACCATTATCGTTACCAGTTACCTTCATTGTTACTGTAGTTACGTACCCTCAGACAGTGTTGCCAACACTGTTTCCTATCTTCAACAATTTCCTTGAAGTTGTAAATCCTATCTGAGTTGACTCAGTTGGTCATAATTCCCTATCGCAGTGATTTATGGCCACCAGAGTAATGCATATGTTCATAAATCACTGTTGCAGTGAAGGTATGTACGAGGTAATGCATATAAGTTACACGGATGAGGGAAGCGAGGGGTTGAGTCACGGCTCCTGGCCCGGAATCTTTAAGAGATTCTTCGACTTGGTTTAACTGGTTTCTGCTCTTTTGAGCCTCGTCATATCCACTCTTGAAGCTGCATATAGACTTTACCTTCACGTCCCTATCCAGCTCTTTCCATTCCCATGTACTACTACTACTACCACTACTACTACTACTACTAATAATAATAATAATAATAATAATAGTAATAATTATTATTGAAATACTACTACTGCTAGAAATAATAATAATATTGTGTATGTTACAGCGTGTTTGCAGTAAGTGTGGTGTGGAGGGCAGCAGTCCTGGAGGTGAGAGGCTGTGGTTGTGTAAGATCTGTGCTGAAACCAGAGAGATGTGGAAGAGATCTGGCGCGTGGTTCTTCAGAGGCATCCCTAAGCACATCCTTCCCACCACCACAGCCTCAGCCCCCTCCTCCACCACACGCAGGGGGAGACAGCCCCCCAGAAGAGCCCACACCCTCGCTTTTAAAGGTGAGGAAGCTGGGGGTGGAGATTATGTCTCAGGTAAGTAGTGGGGGAACTACCTCTCAGGTGAGTGGGGGACTACCTCTCAGGTGAGTGGGGGACTACCTCTCAGGTGAGCGGAGGACTACCTCTCAGGTGGGTGGGGGAACTACCTCTCAGGTGAGTGGGGGACTACCTCTCAGGTGAGTGGGGGACTACCTCTCAGGTGAGCGGAGGACTACCTCTCAGGTGGGTGGGGGACTACCTCTCAGGTGAGCGGGGACTACCTCTCAGTGGAGTGGGGGACTACCTCTCAGGTGAGCGGGGGGACTACCTCTCAGGTGGTGGGGGGACTACCTCTCAGGTGAGCGGGGGAACTACCTCTCAGGTGAGCGGGGGGACTACCTCTCAGTGAGAGCGGGGAATACCTCTCAGGTGAGTGGGAAACTACTCTCAGGTGAGCGGGGGACTACCTCTCAGGTGAGTGGGGGACTACCTCTCAGGTGAGTGGGGACTACCTGTCAGGTGAGCGGGGGACTACCTCTCAGGTGAGTGGGGGACTACCTCTCAGGTGAGTGGGGACTACCTGTCAGGTGAGTGGGGGACTACCTGTCAGGTGAGAGAGTGAGGGGGACTACCTGTCAGGTGAGCGGGGGACTACCTCTCAGGTGAGTGGGGGACTACCTCTCAGGTGAGTGGGGACTACCTGTCAGGTGAGTGGGGGACTACCTGTCAGGTGAGAGAGTGAGGGGGACTACTGTCAGTGTGAGCGGGGGACTACCTCTCAGGTTGAGTGGGGACTACCTGTCAGGTGAGTGGGGGACTACCTGTCAGGTGAGTAGAAGTGAGGGGGACTACCTCTCAGGTGAGTGGGGGACTACCTCTCAGGTGAGTGGGGACTACCTGTCAGGTGAGTGGGGGACTACCTGTCAGGTGAGTGGGGGACTACCTCTCAGGTGAGTGGGGGACTACCTCTCAGTGATGAGTGGGGGACTACCTGTCAGGTGATGGGGACTACTGTCAGGGAGTGGGGGACTACCTGCTCAGGTGAGAGAGTGACGGGGACTTTCTCTCAGGTGAGAGAATGAGGGGGACTACCTCTTAGGTGAGAGAGAGGGGTGATCATCTCTCAGGTGAGAGAGGGGTGAGATCTCTCAGCTGAGAGAGTGGGGTGGTCATCTCTCAGCTGAGTGGGGTGGTCATCTCTCAGCTGAGAGAGTGGGGTGGTCATCTCTCAGCTGAGAGAGAGGGGTGGTCATCTCTCAGCTGAGTGGGTGGTCATCTCTCAGCTGAGAGAGGGGTGGTCATCTCTCAGCTGAGAGAGTGGGGTGGTCATCTCTCAGCTGAGAGAGTGGGGTGGTCATCTCTCAGCTGAGAGAGTGGGGTGGTCATCTCTCAGCTGAGAGAGTGGGGTGGTCATCCTCAGCTGAGAGAGGGGTGTGGTCAATCTCTCAGCTGAGAGAGTGGGGTGTTCATCTCTCAGTATGAGATGAGTGGGGTGGTCATCCTCAGCTGAGAGAGTGGGGTGGTCATCTCTCAGCTGAGAGAGTGGGGTGGTCCATCTCTCAGCTGAGAGTGGGGTGGTCATCTCTCAGCTGAGAGAGTGGGGTGGTCATCTCTCAGCTGAGAGAGTGGGTAGGTCATCTCTCAGGTAAGCACAATGGTCTAGGTAGGAGTGGAATGGGTAAAAGAGTGATATAAAGTAACTGCTTCCCATCATTTCTTAGACAAAACACTTCACTTCTCTGGCTCCAGAGAGTAACTTAAGTACCTGTGCTGACGTCTTGGGCAGCAGCTATTTATTTCTTGGATAAGTATAGGCAAGGTAGAGGTCGAAGGTAAGAGGGTGTGTTCCTAAGCGCAAGACTAAGGTAGGCAGTTTAAGGTAAGTAATGTGATGATGGAGTTTAAGGTCAGGAAGGCAGGAGACGGTGAACTTCTCCATAAAGTGACAAGACTGAGGTGAACCTTACTCTGGTGTACTCACCTAGTGTACTCACCTAGTGTACTCACCTAGTGTACTCACCTAGTGTGCTCACCTAGTGTACTCACCTAGTGTACTCACCTAGTGTACTCATCTAGTGTGCTCACCTAGTGTACTCATCTAGTGTACTCACCTAGTGTGCTCACCTAGTGTACTCATCTAGTGTACTCACCTAGTGTACTCACCTAGTGTGCTCACCTAGTGTGCTCACCTAGTGTGCTCACCTAGTGTGCTCACCTAGTGTACTCATCTAGTGTACTCATCTAGTGTACTCACCTAGTGTACTCACCTAGTGTACTCATCTAGTGTACTCATCTAGTGTACTCACCTAGTGTACTCACCTAGTGTACTCACCTAGTGTACTCATCTTGTGTACTCACCTAGTGTACTCACCTAGTGTACTCACCTAGTGCACTCATCTAGTGTACTCACCTAGTGTACTCATCTAATGTACTCATCTAGTGTACTCACCTAGTGTAATCATCTAGTGTACTCACCTAGTGTACTCAGTGTACTCATCTAGTGTACTCACCTAGTGCACTCATCTAGTGTACTCATCTAGTGTACTCACCTAGTGTAATCATCTAGTGTACTCACCTAGTGTACTCAGTGTACTCATCTAGTGTACTCACCTAGTGCACTCATCTAGTGTACTCACCTAGTGTACTCACCTAGTGTACTCATCTAATGTACTCATCTAGTGTACTCATCTAGTGTACTCATCTAGTGTACTCACCTAGTGTACTCATCTAGTGTACTCGCCTAGTGCACTCATCTAGTGTACTCATCTAGTGTACTCATCTAGTGTACTCACCTAGTGCACTCATCTAGTGTACTCATCTAGTGTACTCACCTAGTGTGCTCACCTAGTGTACTCACCTAGTGCACTCATCTAGTGTACTCATCTAGTGTACTTATCGTAGGGGTTCTTATATGGAGATATCGAGGGTTGAAGGTAGACACACTTGTTGGATGGTAACGATATATTGTCAGACTGTGATGATGGGAATTGGAGCCCAGCCTCTGCCTGTCCTAGCCTGGATGATCTACCGCCGACTGAGGCCGAGGCAGAGGTACGAACGTACACATGCGCATCCCGTGACGTCACACAAAGCCACAGGCCTAAAAGGGATCTCCTATCTAAAGCACATGGATGATACTATATGCTATGCTATATAACACAGGGATCAGCAACTATGCTGACAGCTCGGTCATGTTACGTATGTCGTCTCGACATACACTACTATCTATAGGCTGAACAGGCAGGTGGTTCTGGGCTGATTCTATACAATAAAAAATTCACATATAACTTAGAATTAATGGATTGTATCATAATGGATGTTAACAAAATGAATTTTACGTAATGGGTGTTAACGTAATCACTTTTAACGTAATACATTACAAACTATAAGAACAAATCATTATACAATATGGATGGAATTGATCGATCGATCTGTATTCATGCACTCTACGGATTCTGAGGAAGAATAAATATATATATGCAAGGTGAAATTAACAGCAAAGGCATCTGGTGCACTCAGATCATTACTGTCAAATTCTCAGAATACGGAGGGAACGTGAATACGAAAAAAAAAATCTGAAAAAACTAATCAGTTAATAACAAACAGTTGACAATTTACTTCATCTCGGACATCTAGTTATACAGACTATGTACATTTAACCAATTCTGCGAGGGTGAGGTTTACATATGCAGAATGGTTATCATCTCTGGGAGGATCGAATTCCTCTGCAATGGCTAACACATGCCTTGACTGAGGGAGATTTGAACGAGTATCTACAAAAGATACTTGTGGGTTTCTCATTACTTGTCGAGTATGCAGGAGTAACGACATTCAGGTTGATTATCTAACTGAGTATCTGAGGTAGAGGGTACAGAGTCAGGAGGATTTTCAGCATCTGTCACATCAGTCTGGGTAGCAATATCATCAACATCGCATACTAATTTCATACGATCTAAATGCGATTCTTTGTACTTACCAGTACTAATTTCTCTAACCTTATACTTATTGTCAGAGATATGTTCTACAACTCGATAAGGTCCGACAAACTTTTGATCGAGCTTAGGCATTTCAGATGTTTTGTTGAAATTTGTCAGCATTACTCTTGAACCTACTTTTACTTTTGATGGCTTAGCACGGCTATTAGTTACTGTAGTAAATTCTGCTGTTGATTTATGAAGTGTTTCACGGATTCTTCTAAAAACACTTTGAGCCATGCTGGTACGAGTTGCTACGAAATTATCAGGGTTGTAATTAGGTTTCGGAGTGGAATATGACAACTCATAGGGTAAACGCTTGTCTACACCATACAATGCATAATGTGGACGCATTGTAAGCAGAATTTATGGCACATTGAACATCTGGTATGACTTCATCCCAAGTTTCACTATTGGGGTTGATAGTGGCTCTCAGGACATCAAGTACTTTCTTATTGGTTCGTTCGGCTAACCCATTGCTAGCAGGATGATGAGGAACAATGGTGGATTTAGAAATCTTGTATAAAGTACACAAATTTTCAAGAATCTCATCACAGAATTCACCTCCATTATCTGTTACTAAGGACTTAAGGGTGGTATGCCTGCAGATAATGCGTTCTTTAAATGCTTTAGCTACTGTGCAGTCTTATCTGCAATAGGAACTAACTCACAATATCTGGTGAAATGGTCTACCATAACACAGATGTTTGTTGCCTTGGAGAGAACATTTAAAATTGGTTAACAAGTCAAGGGCAACTCTTTCCCACGGTTCGCTAGTGGTTGGGTGCACCTGGATTGGATTAGGACCATTGACATTTCCTTTATGTTGTATACAAACACTACATTTCTTAACATACTCGGAAATGTCAGTTGCCATACGTGGCCAAAAGTATTTTATTCTGGCTTGTTTCACAGAACGATCCATACCAGGGTGTGCAACACCTGGTGCATCATGAACTAGCTGTAGAGCTACGTTCACTAGTGACTGGAATTACTAACTGGTACACTCTTCTGCTTGAAGTACCCAACTCGGCTGTTCGATACAGTAATTCTTGGCTCTTTACAAAGTCACTAATGGGT